AGATAAAGAAGCAGACAGATTAGTGAAAAAAGCTGACTGAGGTGCTGTTCTGTTGAGAGAGGGAGGAAGGAAACAAACGACACATAAGCAGGGGATAGTTTGTGATAAGAAAAAATGCACAGTTTAAAATTATATTTTACCGTTTTGATTAAATATAAAGGTAACCATTCTGGGTTGTCCCCTCTTGGGCGCGTTTTCTCTGGGGATCCCTTTAGGCACCTGAGGCTGTGGGTTCCCCCGGCGCTCACCTCAGTGCTCTGGAGGGGGGGGGCGTGTCTTCAGCTCTTCACAACCACTATTGAACATTTTTAATTCGGATAACCTTTACCTGCACAAGTTCACTCTCACAAACAACTACAGGTGTTTGGTTCCAGGTCCTCAGAGATTCACTTCCAAACAGAAACCTCATATTATTGTCTTCAGCTCCCACGGTATAAATGTCAGATTAAATAATACTACTTATACTTAGCGTTAGTATTAAGATGTTACTTTATTGTATCTCTTATATCCGTTGGCTGTTCTGTTCTTTGCAGGTGATGAAGATGTTTTATCATTATCTCTCTTTTATCTCCTCTTTCTTTCATCTTTTCTCCTTTTTTCCTGTTTTTCATTTCCTGTTCTACACTGGAAATAATCGAAATCTAGATAAGTCATGTTTTCATAAGATAAGTGCATTTGTTCTTGGATTGAGGGGGTAAAAGAATGATTTTCCCAATGGAACAAGACAATTTACACCTAAAATAAGAGAACTATTGCATTGTCTTATTTTAAGTGCATATTATCTAATTAACTTATTTTAAGAGTATAAAATACTCATTCCATTGGCAAACTATCTCATTTACCTGCTCAAATTAAGGGTAAATACACTTAATTTAAGACATTTTTGCTTATTTCTGGATTGTTTTTCCAGTGTATTTACATTGCAGTGTCCATATAATCTGTAAAACTCCCTGCATGATTATAATAAAGCTATTTATATGCATTAATCAAGCGGAACACTATGGCGATAGCCGTACTGCTCCACTTGTGAAAGTAAAATCTGTTGCGCTCTTTTTGGCATTAATACAATTATTCTTATTGCCGCATTGTCAGACAGGACACTGTAAAAAAAAAAAAGCTGACTGAGGTGCCTGTTCTGTTGAGAGAGGGAGGAAGGGAACAAACGACATGTGCAAATAAGCAGGGGATAGTTTGTAATAGGAGAAAAAATGCAGAATTAAAAATCATATTTTACTCCCATAATGTTTTGATGAAATATAAAGGAAATAATTTTTGGTTTATTAGAAAAAAGTTGTTTTTTGTATTTAACATCATGGTTTGTACCTCACTATTACCTCTCAACACCCAGCTCATTTTGCATTAGTCAACAGAACCCAAAGGACCACTGATATCCTCAGGGACAAATATAGAGGTCCTCAAAGCCTCTTACGACAGAGCCCGCTTACGATTCCCTTTCCGTGCACAGGATCCTCGAATAGACCACACAAAGATCCTTAAGCCAAAATCCCTCCTTGGTATTTAATTCTAAATGAGTAATTACTGGGTGTGTCAGTGTGTCTTAGGTTTGCAGGTTTGCTTGGTGGGGCAGCTCATTTGCACGCTGGCTCGGGAAAGAACTGCGCTCTCATAAACACACAAACTCCAAGTGGGCATCCTTGGGAAGCCACTGAAGAACCCAGCCACGTAGGGGGACAGAACACATACAACCGCCAAGATGTGTGACATGGGGGGTTTGGACAACCTGGTGGCCAATACGGCCTACCTGAAAGCCCAAGGAGGGGACGACAAGGAGATGAAAAAGCGCCGCCGCAGCTTGTCTCTGCCCAAGCCAGAGCAGTGTTCTGCTCTCCGAGAGGCCATTGAGAAGGACTTTACATCCCTTTGTGAAAGACAGCCTATAGGGAAAAAGCTTTTCCGTGAGTTTCTGTCCAGCACCCCTGAGTTCCAGCTCGCCGCACAGTTTCTGGATGAGTTGTATGACTGGGACCTGGCCGAGGGCGCAGCTAAAGACAAGGCTCGCCAAGAAATCCTGAATAAGTACTGTAAATCCGACTCCAAGTCCTTCCTGGCCTTTCTTAGCGGGGAATCTGCAGAAAAATGCAAGTCGGTTACAGACGCCAACTTTGAAGAAGTGATGAAAACCAAGGTGCAGGATGGTGTGAGGGAATTTCTAAAAGGCAAACCTTTCACAGAATACCAGGCCAGCCCATTCTTTGACAAATTCCTTCAATGGAAGGAGTACGAAAAGCAGCCCATCAGCGACAAATACTTCTATGAATTCAGGACTCTGGGAAAGGGGGGCTTCGGAGAGGTAAGGATAACTTTTTTTTTGTGTTGTGAAAAATATATATATATATTTTTAACATTTGGAGCTCTCCCCAAAACATGCTAGTTATAACAGCAAGGTTCAGACTGCAGCTGTGATCATTATAAATCTTTCAGTCATGAGTAAGAGATATAACTGCATATAGGCGAGAGGATTAACCTCATTTCAAGCTAACTGCTAACTCTCCCAAAAGAACACTCTGTATTGTTGATTAAAAATAAGATCTAATGACCGTGAGTAAAAAACAAAACAAATAATAAGCAAGCAAATCGCAAAAAAACTACTTTTTACAGACAAACAAAAGCAATTTTTAATGGGAGCTGTTCAGAATCATCAGATGGACACAAAAAGACAAAAGCAGTGGTCTTAGGGGCGCAGTAGTTAGCACGCATGACCCATATATGGAGGCTCCGGTCCTCGGCACGGCCGACCCGAGTCCGAATCCGACCTGTGGTCCTTTGCCGCATGTCTGCCCCGTCTCTCGTACCCACTGTCCTGTCAGCCTGCTGTCATTAAAACCCCCAAAAAAACAGGGGTCCTAGAAGTGACCCCTGAGGAACTCCTTTAAAGTCAATGCTTACCTTAACCTCACAGCTATCGTGGATTTTTGTTTGCTAGTAAAACAGCACTGCATTTTATCAATAGGAAGTAATCTACATGTTGCCTGTGAATGTTTCTAACTTTATTGGAAACTGGGATTGATTTAAAACTGTCATCAAAAAAACGCGAGAGAAACACGTATAAAGTGCTATGCTAAAGGATGCTAAAGTAGCAGCTCTGCAAGAAGCATGTTAATTGAGTCTTCTAGTTTTTACTCGACTACAATCCAACTAAAAGCTTAATATGATGATATAAGTTTAGCATATAATATAACATAAGAGATTTAGGCATGCTTAAATGTTTATTTACTATTCAGAAAAAAGATATTAGCTGTAAGTTTGTGTGCGTAAACCAGCAATTAGAATTTGGTTTCATACATTCTGTATGTTCTGATCTTATCAATATTTAAAACTTATATGATAAATGTTATATTTTAACTAGAAGATTCAACAATTTAAACCTTTTTAAGGAAAAAAGGCCATTTTGTGTTTTTGTCCACAGAGTTTAATGGATTTGCTGTCTGTTAGCTTTATATAGAAGATGTTTTTTTTTTCTTTGCAGAAATTTCAGTATCTCTAAGCATCTGTCAATATTTTTTTAACCTCCCTGTAGGTGTGTGCTGTTCAGGTGAAGAATACAGGTCAGATGTACGCCTGCAAGAAGCTATGTAAAAAACGTCTGAAAAAGAAGGGTGGTGAAAAAATGGCCCTATTGGAGAAGCAGATCTTGGAGAAGGTCAACAGCCTGTTTCTGGTCAACCTGGCCTATGCGTACGACACCAAGACTCACCTGTGCCTTGTCATGACCCTGATGAATGGAGGAGACCTCAAGTACCACATTTACAACATCGGCTATGATGGAAAGGGTGTGGACAAGGGCATAGAGATGAAGCGTATCATTCACTATACGGCACAGATCACCACCGGCATCCTGCATCTCCATGCAATGGATATTATATACCGGGACATGAAGCCCGAGAATGTCCTGCTGGATAGTCAAGGCCAGTGTCGACTTTCCGATTTGGGTCTGGCTATAGAGATAGTTCCAGGAAAAACGGTCACCCAAATGGTGAGTCAATGGACACTGAAGTGTTTTTTTGGTGTTGCTGATGTTGGAGCATTAGTCTCTCTTAAAGGTCATTTTCTGAACAGAGGAAATGGTCTAAATAAGCCAGAATGAAAGGTTTCTGTGAGGCCTTCTGTGACGAAAAGGTTGAGCTCATTGTAGGATCTATCCATACTGTCACCCTATGTTAGAGTTTCAGTGTAAATCCGGACAGAGATTACTGGTTTGTTTAAGGATCCTTGCAATTAGAGCTTCTGAATCCATTATGTAATTCATTAGATCCTTTAGCAGTCAGGACATACCTTGGTCATTTATAGGCAACCACTGGAAATACATTCGGACATTAGCCAGAGATTCCTTGAGCAAAGGAATTTATTTCACTCTGTCCGGCTAAAAGAATCAATCCACAATCATTGAGGCCGAACAGCGACCTCTTGACAACCTGTAAAGAAAAATCAAGCCCATCTCTTTTAAGGTTAAGGTTAAACATCAAAATAAAATTATACTTTTTTCTGTATCTTTGTATCTCTATAGTTAAATCTCTACAATTTAGTGGTGAGCGACATAAATGCACCTCACCCATCAGGTGAGACCAGTGACCAATGCTGCCACAGGTTTTCTCCAGGACTTACTTGTAGGAGCAAAGAGTAAGCTCTCAGCTCTCTGAAAGTCCAGTAAGCTTATTATCCAGCGCTGTGATGCTCTTCAGTCAGCCAAAGTGACTGGGCTAACCTCCTACCGACAAACCTGACTTTGGTCCCGTAATCCTCTTACTCGGCATTACACAAGTCTGTCCCTGATTAGATGCAGAGACAGAGCGAAACCTTCGATTGCATATGTTCAGACTGGATAGTTTGCAAACACTTTCATCAACATTTCAAGAGATTGCTTCTGTTCTCCCTTCTTTTTAAATATGATGTCCTGGTGGAGAAAACTAATGAGGGGCTGGTATAGAACTACTCTGCGTAGAAGTCACAGATGTGTTTCTGTGGCAACTTGGGATTAGAGGACCGAGCTTGAGGCACTAAAAGTGTCCAGTCCCACAAATCATCAATAAAAAACGACACATTCAGTGGAAACTGTCCTATATGACCAACAAAGCAGGGCGCTCTCTTTAACTTTGTTTCAAAAAGTTGATGCTTTCATTGATTATTATGTTTTGCACATTTCTTTACTTGAATTATTCCTGATAAATTTCTCTCATTGCCCATCTAAGGTTTGAACCAAAACAGAAAGGAATTATGGGAGCTCAAACTAAGAGTCTTTAAGGTGTTAGGATATAAAAGCCCCTTGACTGACTCGGGGTGGCAAACAGAAATGGCTCAGCAGAGGTTTGCATCACATGTACCTTAGCGGGTACGAAGGGCTCTGCGTTTGGATGTCTGGATGTATTTCTGTATGCGGCCGCAACATCCAAAAATGGATACGCCTTATATAAGGGACAGGACAACTCAGTGTGCAGACGCACACAACTCTTGACAGCTAGTAGGCTTAGCATTAGGATTAGGCTCCTGGCTTTAAGGCTGCCTGCAGGGTCACACAAGGAAAATGAAAGAAAAAGAGGCGGCGCAGAAAGCAATAAGGAAAGAGACTCCAGATGGAGGACTTTGCTTTACTGTTTGATACGAACATTTATAATAAACGTAAACAAAGATTTTCCAATCATCTGCAATGCATCATGCTTTAGCTTTCATGGCCAAACATCCTTCTGATCTGTTTTTTCATTTCCTGCTATTAATGTTTGCTGTCCAGGCGGGTACGGGAGCCTACATGGCCCCCGAGATCCTGAGCAAAACCCCATATCGGACATCTGTTGACTGGTGGGCCCTGGGCTGCAGCATCTACGAAATGGTGGCGGGCTACACGCCTTTCAAAGGCCCTGAGAGCAAAAAGGAGAAGGTGGAGAAGGAGGAGGTGCAGCGGCGCATTCTCAACGAGGAGCCAAAGTGGGAACACAAGTGCTTTGATGCCCCCACCAAGGACATCATCCAGCAGTTCCTCAAGAAGAAAATAGATGAGCGTCTGGGTATGAGGTAAGAGTGGCGTGGGGTTTAGCTCGGGAACAGTTAGCCCTTTTAGCAGTGATTTGCTTTCCTGTAGTTTCTGGTTCTATAAGAATTCAGACAATTTTTCTGTGTCTCAGGAACAACATGGAGGATCCGAGGAAACACGAGTGGTTTAAGACGATCAACTTTCCCCGCTTGGAGGCAGGGCTTGTGGACCCTCCCTGGGTCCCCAAACCCAACGTGGTCTACGCCAAGGACACCGGCGACATCGCAGAGTTCTCCGAGATCAAAGGCATCGAGTTTGACGCCAAGGATGATAAATTTTTCAAGGAGTTCAGCACGGGCGCGGTGCCCATTCCCTGGCAACAGGAGATGATCGACACGGGGCTGTACGACGAGCTCAGCGACCCCAACAGGAAAGAGGGAGCAGGAGGTTTCGACGACGACAAGAAGTCTGGCACGTGTGCGCTCCTCTGAGCAGGCCCACATTGGGCTCCTAACATCTTATACCTCTCGATTATTTGCTTTCTGTTGCACAATAGCACCGGTGTGAATGGTGGATCATGGTTCATGAGAGGTGAGGACAGGCGTCTTTGCTGAGACAGAAATAATGTCTCACAACGGTGCTTACGGTTTAGAGGTGAGCTGCTTCTCAGGCAGAGCTCCGTAAAGCGTGAACAATAACGCGTATTTCATGCGTCGCTTCTGCTCCACGGCTTCTTTTAAAAGCATGCATATTTAATTACGTAGTCCTGCTAGCAGCAAGGGTTATTGTTGTTTTTTTTTTATTTTTATGCCACCGTTTGTGAGAAAAACAGCAGAAACGAAGCGGTGATCGACAACCATTGCTAAATTTACAGCTGTTGTTAAACTGTGAAAAAAAAAAAAAAGTTTTAATACATCTTCCAGACTTTAAAATTGTTAAACTTTCTGGATTGTGTTTGTTTATTTTACCATGCAGCCAGGCTGATTTTACAAACACATTTTCTTTTCTCCGCATACGATAGAGAAATGTGTCGCGTTTCTTTCATCGTTGCAACCTTAGATGACATAGTTACAGCAAATTACAGCATTTATTTCTGCCTGGCATCTTAGTTTTATATAAACTATAAAACACAAATGTATGTGTTGTACATAAAGCATTTTGTAAGAATTTAAGCAAGACAATATGTAAAGCATTTCACGTTTAAAATGATCTTAGAGGAAGTGAATATGACCAAGCACCTCTCCATTGAAGTTGGTCTTTTGCTGGTGCTGTGAGGTCCGACCTGGAGGCAAATGGAGACTTAGGCCCTGGGAAGCTGGGGAAGACTAGGGTGAACAAATAGCAGCTTATTTGCTGCGTATGAAAGTGGAAGATTCAGAGGAGTTGGGCAATAGATTCCTGTACCAGGAGTTCGCTGTCCATGGTTCTGAAGCTGTGTGATCATTCAGGGCCATTTTTTGTCTGCATCTTAAAGGAAAAGTCCGGTCAGTTAGGAATATCTAATGGATCATTATTTATAACTAAGACTAAAACGGTCGCAGTGATTTGATGAATTTAGCGTAAAGCAGTAAAAAATAAATAAAAATAATACTTTTTATCACGATCACACAAAAGTAATTTCTGAATTAACTAAAATGTTTCACAACGATTAAATTAACCTACTATTTTTATATTTACTACATGAATAATGTTATTTTAATGAACAATACTGTGAATAATACATGTTTTGTCAAAGTTCGCATTTGGGAATTATAATTTTGGGTTGACCTTTTCAGTGAAATATCATTAAAGAAAAAATCAATGGGTTATTATTTATACCTAAAACTAATACGTTCACGGTGATTTAATGTATTTAGTGTTAATCAGTAAAGAAATGTTAAAAATTATCGC